TTACAATCCAATTCTAAATGCTTTCTCAAGTTGAATGGAGAATAATGTATCTCTTTGCATTTTCTGTCTTCATGGGATATTGCATATCTTTAACAAATTCAGGTCATTTTTACATTATACATGCAAGCAAACTAAAATATTAATACACTTTACTTATGCATTTTTGTAAAATGGCCGAATAGAGGAATCACATATTTTTATTGTTGTAGACCCTTGAAAGAAAGCAGAGAAAATCAAAGTGTGAACGAATTGCCTGCGTCTGTGTCTGACCATTGTTACTATGGTTTCCACTCAAGCTATGTCATGAGTTTTAATGCAAATTATTCTTCTACGTAAGAGAAACATCATCAAACTAAAAATCTTATGATGAGTTACAATATTTGAATGGATAAGCCATAATAAGCCGTAATTCTCAACTCAATCTGGAATCGTGTTAGCTCTTTGATGTTCTGACATTTAGTTCTAGAGTTTTCGTTTTCGTTTTTTTTAAAGTTACATAATAATGCCATTTTGCCATATTTACATGTTACCAGTAAAGAATGTAATCAGTTTTGGAGAATCAAGAGAAACCAATATAAACAGCCCTAAAATAAAATGACTCCTCCTACTGGTTAGGCCCAGAACATCAGAGTAAATAAAGATTTCTGTTGTCATGCATGTTCACATAATTAAAACCTCAGAATCTACATTGTGTACAAATAATAGGTGTAACAATATCAACTCAGGAGGGAGTGCTGTTGACCATCCTATGGGTCAAGGATTTCCTCAAACCATGTGAAGGCCTCCAGATGCAAGATACCAAGCAATAAAAATCGGAATAATCAAACTGATAATTGTTATGATATGAAATATCACAGCACATGTCAGGCTGAAATGTAGGTGTTGCAACTACATCATAAAGAAAGCAAAGCCGAAAGGTCAAATGCCTATAATACATAAAATATTAATACCCTCCCCTACTGTCAATACTACATTACATAAGAATAGGTATTGGGAAATGTATGTGAGCTGAGGTATCAAAATGTAATGTTTTCAGTTCTTGCCAGTGTTTGCCTCAAACTCTATGCACATTCACCCTTGCACTGCATGTTGTTCAATACTCATATCGAGAATTATATACGTATACACAGGTTTTTATAATGTTTAGCTGGCGTCAGTTCTCTATCTAGGACAATGTGTGTTTATTTTCTCGTGTATTCATCAGAATACAACATGTGTTGCACTGAAATAAATGCCATTGTCTGACCATAAGATTCCTTAAAGAGGAATTAACTGACTCTGACCTTGACAATTAATTACATTAGTGAAGGTCACCATCCAAACGGGTGAGATGGTTAAGATAACCATGTAATCTGACTTAGTTACCTCTGACGGTAAAGCTAACAGCATAACAGTGCACAATACTATAAAGTACCGATTTAAGAATAATTAGAACGGCCTGTGATAGATCATGTCACAAAATCATTGTGATTCTGTAGACCTTGTTTAATTGTAATTTAGCATTTTTCATTCGGTCAAACATAATCAATTGCGAACCAACTGACAAACTCTTTAAAAGTCTCTGTCAGTGGCATGTGAGCATTACGTTTGAAGCACTATGAGGGTTTGATGTTTCTGAAATAAACAGCACACAATGCCTCCTTTTGATCCACCAATCCCAATATTCCTAAGATCATGATTTATTTGTTGTCCTTTGGTTGCATTTATCATTTCCATCTCACCAAAAATAGACAAAAGAATATCTTTAACATTAAAAAAAAAAAAAAACTTTAGTAAACATTAAGAATAGGAATATTATAATAACTAATATTATAGAAGCTGCCACTATCCCAAAGTCTATATGAATTAATATACCGCATCTATCACAAGCAAAAAAAAAATAATCATGCACAGAAATTAAAAACCACTTTGCTGTATCATTAAACATCCACAAACAATATTCAAAGGTCATGGAGCATGAATGTAAACAAAAAAAAAAGTGTTTCAAGTCAAACACATTATGATCACAACCTCTTAACTGCTACAATAATAACTCAATGAGCTGATCATTATATAAGCAACAATCAGATCAATAATCACATCACTCTTTAGTGCAAAAACAAATAAAAGAAAAAAAGTTAAGTAAAAAAAAAATACAGGCTACATATTAATATTAATGTTTGGGAAAAGCTCCTACAGAAACAATACATTTTTGTTCCAGAGTTCTTTTAGTTAGCCTACTGTTTATATGATATGACTTACTAACAATACTTGAATGTAGTACCTCAATACTTTAAAAAGAAGCATACATCCACTCAAGAATGACCAGCTCTCACAGGTACGTCCAGGTAGCCTACATAACGTCTTAAAAATGTACAGACAAAAGTCTCACATATTTCCAAGCATCACATAACTGGCATAGCTAAAGCTAACCCCATTACTCACAAGCAAGCAGAAAAATCTCGTTTGATATACGGGCATATACAGAGAAACAGTGCGACTGCTGTGACTTCCAGAACGTGTATTTGCAACACATTCAAGGAAAATAGACTAAAAGTGTATTTTCTGTTTTGGTGTACTCAGTCGTAAACTAACGTAAAACATACATCTCAAGGTCTTGTTCGCATATAAAGCCACTTTAAAGTCGGTAAAACATGCAGCAAAGGCCCTCCTCCCGATTCTAGCTCCTGTCCAAATCAGCCATAAAACTACACACGTTTTTAATAGATACACATAGGCTACAGCACGCGACTAAAAACAGATTTAAATGGAATTAAGCAGGTGCACAAGAATAAGGAAGAACGTGTTAAAATGTAACAATCGTGTAGCTACATGTGGAGAAAATGCTTGATTCACAAACTAATATATAACTTGTATTTCAATTAAATGTGCTGACTAAAATGAAAACTATTTGCCATAAATATAGAAAGAGTTAATTTACTCGACGTTAACTTACTTGCAGACCCACGAAGAATTTATAAAACAGTTCTATGAAAAGTAGGCCGGTAATCAGCTATAAAAAAAAAAGTGCAGTGAAAAAATAAAAACACTGAAAATATCGTTTCTGGCATAGCCTAGGCTATAAGTTAAAAAATAACTGGAGAATGCTATAATATTTTACGATGGTTTATAGTAAGACTGCCTTACGCTAATGCATGCCTAGCCTACACATCTTATCCTATAGGCACGTGCAAGTGTCTGAAACACAAAGAAATGCAAAGGGAGAGACTGAAGTTTTCATCGTGAAACTACATTTAACGGGGATTGAAGTAGGCTAAAGACAAGAGGTGTTTATGCAGACATCCACAGCTTTAGGAGACTGGCTCACAACAAATATATTAACGCAGAGCAGCGCACAGGGTTAACAGAACAGATGTCATGACTGAGAGCTACCAAATCCTAAAACCATCTTACTTCATAAGAGCCTAATAATATGCTTGTATACGCCAGCACGTCACTTAAAAAAAAGTCCTTAACGTTTAATGAAGTAATATTTGGCTATTGATTTTTTATCAATAAGTCAAGACTTCCAAGGCCTAAGCGTCTGAGAGCGGTCAGCAAACCCCAAAAAATAAAAATTCTAACAAACATGCACACTGTTAAATAAAATGAGATAACTGCATTTCGCGTAGGCTATATCGTAAAATAACAAGGGTTTTCTTCATTCAGCTCATTCGTTCAGATAAAATACCCCAATAATAAAAGTAGCCAACATCGAATAGAATCTCCCCACATAAATTACAACCTTTCCATGCCGTTTGCTATAAATAAACAGATTATATAAGACACACATTTTATAATACAGCGTCGGGAAACAGAGTGCATATGATAAATTAATGAAAATGTTTTTTTCCACTACGGGCCAATGCCATGGCTCTCGTGCCCGCCGTCTCGTGCTTCAGATAACAATGCAAGCAGCGTTGCATCCAAAAACTGAAGACGAGCTCCTCTGTGTTTTGCCATATTAAGTTTTTTGGTGTGTGTGTGTTAAAATGGCCGAGTGATTTATTGTTCGCTTGTAACGCGTGCGTTACAGGCAACAAGCTGGCACTTCACAACACGGAGTCAAAATGAGGTCATTCATAAGTACAGGCATTAGAATACGGAACAGATGGCCATTTATCTTTTTGTAACTAAAACTGCATTTCGGCTTCTCCGCGTACTTGGAGCGAGGGCTAAAATTGCTGCGTATCCCCATTTAATGATGACAAATAACGGACACGGTAAAGCGCCAGACACACTCCCTACTACAAAACTCCACAGCTTCGCTCAGAATTTGTCCGCGCAAAACAGCGACATACGCAACAATTCGGCTCCGTCTCAGATATCCCGAGAGCAGAGGCTAGCGCGCAAATCTACCGGGCTCAATCAAATAGTAGCAATGGCCCGGAAAACACTAGGCGGCTGAAACGTTCAAATCATCAGAGCATTTGTTACTGTAGCGCCGACGGCCTTTGATCGGTGATACTTGACACTTAACACACGGTTAGAGCGGTGTTATTGTATCAGATATTTGGCTCGTGCGTAGGGAAGTCCCTAGCGGCTCTGCTGGCTCGTATTGTGCCTTTCGTGTCACGGTTCAGTGTTGCGTTGAGCACGTCGCTAATTATTAAAATACCCCGTGAAATAATACAACTTGCAAAAACTACCCACAAAGTCCTCGTAGCCTGACAACTGTTCGGCTACTTCCTAGAAAATGAGTGATCAAGCAGGGAATTAAATGCTCATTTTACCTGAGACGTCACTTCAGGCAAGCACGAGTCTTTATGGTTTAATTCCAGACAAACGTTGGCTGTTCTGACGGAGAGAACTGTACCAGCTAAATGTAATTTCACAAGTTTTCCGTATCTTCTTCAAAGCCGCCTTATCTATAGCCGATTGATGGACAAAGACTAAAGTCTTGCGCTTGAGTTATTAGTATAAGTTTTTTTTCCAGCTCATAGCACGGGAATGACTGCTATTACTCTTATAAATAGCCTAACATAAATAGTATAAGTACCCTCCCTCTCCCTGGTTCTTACCTGCTGCTTTAAGGCTCTTTCTTCTCCAGTGGCTACAGCGCTTCACAGCTTCCCCGGTTTTCCCCAGGCAAGGACTGAGTTTATTAATATTGTTCCTTACTTTGTTTCATTTCTCACTTCCATCTTCTTTCATCTCATCAATAAACACACGCTGCAGCCTACCTTCGGAGAGGACATCACGCAGCTCACTCGTGCCCTCCCATTTTTTCACTATTCGTCGAAGATTTTGGGCAGCCACGCCTTTCTGCTGGCGATTGGAACAGAATGGACTCTCGTGAAGCACGTAGGTTGCGATATAAATCGTTCAAAATGACTTTACCCCAATCGGTGAGCCGCACGCCCTCCCTTCCGCGCGACGAGGAGCGCTGAAACTGGCTCCATTGTGGCTCTGAAAGTGAAACTATTTTGGCTTGTCGCAATTGTTGTGTTTGAACCAGCATGGGCTCTGTGCATCCTCAGTTTCTTAATTCTCGGTGCACCGTATGTCGATGCGCTTGTCGCGGTCCCCTTTCGGGGACTTTCAGCTTTTACGCGTTGCTTCTTGAGCATGAACGAATGCATGCATTAGCTACCACGACATGAATGTTGTTATAGGTGTTACATGCGCGCATTATTAAACTCCCTGAAATCTATGTCCCATCCTCGATCAAAGGCCAGCCATCCGAGAATCCTGCATGTTGATCATTTATAGATAGCCTGCTTTAGATTGGTTCATGGCGATGTCAATAAATTTCTCCCAATTATATCTGCTCCCACATTGGATGATGACGGTGCCCGTCAGTCGGATGACCAACAAGCTAGACCGTGCCTTTTACTTTCTACGCATTTCTATTTTCTCATTTATTTATTTTTTAACGTCCCCAGCTGACCTCAAGGAAACGTAAGGAGAGTTGCTGACGGGACTGCTGGCCAATCAGATCGTGTAAAGTGACACCGGACTTTTTTGTTCACCAATACGTTCACGGAGCCGTTGTGACTGACACAAAATAATGCAATAGTGGCTCACGAGTCGCCAGCCACACCGAGCACCCCCTCCCCGACTCCCCCCAGTCTAGACAATATATATATATTTATATATATATATATACACACGATTGATCTTAGTGTTATGACAGCAGTGAACAGTAATTAACATCTTGAATATTGTGTCTGAATATTGGCAGCGATTTAATTATCCTTTTAATGCGTCCCACTAAGATTTCGTGATGTCAAAAGTCCAACGAGACATATTTACAAACAACAAACCATTTCTAGCGTACGCATTCTGTTTATTATTTTGCTAAATAAGGCTTGGCTCGCGTAAATATTTCGTCACATGTAACAATCCCTCTCCTCCATTCATTCACATCATTCCTCGTAAATGAGGTTTCCGGTTGGGTTACACGCTTTTCTTGACGCTGAGCTCCTCCCTTCGGTTACAGACACGAACAGCAGCGTTTTACCGAGAGGTTCACCGGGGGACACGCACACCGTCTGCCCTACATAGAATACACTCATTGTAGGCCGGGGTGTCAGCTGAGGACGACTTGCAACCTAGAAACGGCGCGTAGGCCCCTCCTTCCCTTTGTCAGGCGCATTGCAAACGTTAGCCCGAGGTCTTCTGAGGTGTTCGTTTTTTCTCCCCCGAAAATAGATCGTAAAATTGGCATGCATTTTCAGCAACCCCTGGCTGTCGAGGCCCCTCGCGATTCTTCATCATCATCCGAGCCCTTTGTGTACAGTTGCTAGGGGTTACAGTGTGACATTTCATTTCAAACAGTCCTGCTCTCGATGTATGCGAGTCCCATTTCTGCATGCACGCAAAACGGGCTAAAGACACAGTTTGGTCTTTATTTCGAACAGCGGCAATGCGCCTTTCTTAAAGAGCGAACGCTAAATCTATGATGCTTCGCAGAAGTACACTTCGCAACTTACTTTTTGCACGTGTGGTTTTTAGTAGCCTACTACAGCAACATAAACTTTGTGCGATGGCAGATTCTGGTTTATCAGAAAACTGCTCATCACCGAGAGTGCGGAGACCTCGCGCCCTTCCTCGGTGTTCACGGAGCCTTACGCGCGCGCTATTAACTATATGGAGACTCACAATATTCTTCAGATCTTTCAGGTGAGAAAGAACACAGCTGCAGCCACTGGTATTTATTCTTACGAAGAAAATGGTAGACAGTGATGAACTGCTTTGCACAAAATGGCGAAGGACAATTCAGAGCACTAATAGAAGTTCCCCAAAACAGAGAAAGCGTAGCGTGTTAATATCGCATTATTCTGGTTTATTTAATAAAGAGCTGCATATTGTTTTAGGAGTATTACGAAAACAAACAAACAAAATAGAGCTCTGACTAACTACCAATGTCATTTCAGCAGCAGATATGAAACATTGTGTTGCTTGAGACATCCAGGACAAGACTGTTCATTGTGCTTTTCTCATTTGTGCTATTTCAGGACATCACAGAGAAACTGGTTTTTGATAGACCAGGTGATCCACTTCAGTTCATGTTAGAACAGGTATTTTTTTTAACTTTTCATATCATCTATTAAGTGTGTTATATAGATTTATATATTCTACATAGATTTGTTTCAGACAAACATCATAAGTTTTTCTGGGATATTTCTTGATGGCAGTACATTTAAGGATACGAGCTGATCTTGTTAAATATATTGCATACCGTAGTCACCGTCATTTAACTTGGCCCTATAAACATGATTACTATTATTTTTTTTGAATAGTTGTAAACCATTCTAATCACAACTGACTCTACAAAAACTTTTGCAGGTACAAATGAAGATCAAAATCCGTGATGAGTCAAGTAACACTTTTGCGAAATCATAACGAATTCTAAAGCAACAAGGGCTTTGCAACAAATTGAATACAAGTTTCTGCTTCTATTTCTTTAAATGAGGTGTATTGGTTGCTGCAGGTCATTCCGTGACTCTGCATTGTTGTTTCCAAGCAACTGTCTTCAGGTTTTTATTTATTTATTTATTTTTAACATCTCCAAATGTATCATGTTTTACCGCAGTTTTTGGAAGACACTATTTGCATTCATTCAGTCAAACAGCACTGAAATCTGAATAATGCAGTTCGTGAGTGTCTTTGACATAAATATCTCAATGAACACACTCAAGTGGCAAGTTAAGGTGAAGAAAAACAGTATTTAACATAAGAGGAATTACTGACTTCAGAGACACAGAATAGATGGATTTGTACTCATAATTCTTAGATTGTTATTGTTTTTACGAATTAACTGTGTATAAGCTACTTCCAGCTTATACATTATGCAAGTATTCTCCAAAATAAATAAATAAATAAAATGCTAGCCGGACAAAAGTAGCTGGCTTTTGCTCTGTACTCGAATTTCCATGGTGGCTTTTGGGTGCATAAGTAAAGGAAGTCTTTGTTTATATATTAGGCTCTTCATATACGGTGTATTTCTAGCAATCTACTGTACATTTAGTCTAGAGCAACATCTGGTGTTTCAAGACCGGTCTATCACATGCAGTCATTTCATTTGCAATTAAAAATAAGTTCAAAATATTTTCACAGTTACATTGTCTGTGTGCATTTATTGTGTATTTTTAACTGCCATTTGTATGTAATGAGTAAAGGAGAGTAGATTAAAGATGCGTTTATTATAGATGTGTAGATTAAAGCCAAGTTTTTGACCATCACATGAATAGAGAAGACTGTGATTGAAAGATGTGAATAGAATCTGCTAGGCCAAGTAAAATATTACAGATAATTATAATAATTATAAGGTCTAAAAATATAATCATACGTTGGTAAATGCATGTTTAAAACCTAAAAAAGGCATGAATTTTAAAATGCATTTTTTTTTTATTACATTTTTTTTTTTAGAATTGTAGCTTTACATTGATACAGTTATTCAGTGTGACATTGAATGTATTCAAGGTATATGCATTTATTTTTCTTTTAGCTTTGGGGTAAAAGTGTGTCAGTGGCTTATCTTGAAATTGTTGAGCATTGCCTCCAACCAGAGGAAATAGTATAACTACACAAAGTACTATTAAAATGTTGAAAATTGTTTCACTACATTCAAATATTATGAATATTAAAGCATTTCCTGGCTGGTTTATGAAAATGTGAATATTGTTCTGCAACACAAGGCTTTAGAATGCGATTCTTGTTCTCATATACAGTATGCCCATTGTTTTATTTCAAATGTAAATTGTTCTATATTCCCCAAATGACTCAACTTACACTTATCATATCATACGCATATCTTATGTGGGGTCACATTTCTGTGGCCCTATATTATAAATGATTGCTTCTATTTTTATTTGACTGCAAGACAACTGTAAGTGTCATAACGTACCCCATATATATATATATATATATATATAGGAACTACTTTATTCATATCTTACCAGAATTATAGAAAATTATGCAAACAGAAATATAGCGCTATATATAACTAAATAATTCTACACTGAAATAACTTCATTTGTCAATCGAAATGCTTATGTCACAGTGTACACATTACATGTGAAATACTTTTATTATGTTGTTTAGAATAGAATACATACAATAAATCCAATTTGACTGAATACAAAAAGAGCATCTTACAAGGTTAGTGTTCTTTGATTACAATAACTGACATCTTAATGATTGTGATCTTTCATCTTTGTCTCTAACATGCTTCAGAATGCATTGTCAAAACTTCTCTGCTTTACGGTTTGTATAAAACATGGACTTTTTTTATATTCTTATGTTTGAGACCTCAGCATAACCATGTTTTCATACATTTCTGTTAACCAAGTAATCAGGAGATTTGAAAATATTAAAACTGTTTCTACTAAAGAAGAATGTATACAGCTCGAAACAATTCGTTTGAATTATTCAAGAACATTGACCTTTAAACTTCTAGCACTGGACTTTTGCTCTAAACGTTTGTTCAAATTGATTTTTACTCTCTATGGACTTGGAAGTACAGATCTGTATGACAAAGACAAGACAATATGGAATAAATAAATGTTTGACTTTTGTCATTTTTGGAACTGCTTTAATAGTTTTATTTTCTTTTTGGCTGGCATGCACCCAATTTTATCATGCAGATTTGTAGATAATTTATAAATGCCTCCGATTGTAAACACAATATTCCAATCGTGATAAAGTAACAACAGACACCAAGACCTCGAGATCCACATCAAGGGAATGAAGACGTGCTTGTGTAGTCTGTATTTACACAGACAGTAGGAGCCTGCTGAGTTTCCCAGCTTTATTCTAAGGCATGTTTCAGTTTTCCTTGCAAAGACAGAAAAAATCTCTTATATAAATCCTTAGCAGCAGCATTTTACACAAAGCTTGATACTTACAATTGTGCATTATCAGGATTAAAGCCACCTTGATTTCTATAAAGTATACGGACACTTGGTCACATTTGTGACCCTGGAGTCTTAAGTCGCTGGGGTATATTTGTAGCAATAGCCAACAATACATTGTATGGGTCAAAATTATACATTTCTCTTTTATGCCAAAAATCATTAGGATATTAAGTAAAGATCATGTTCCATGAAGATATTTTGTAAATTTCCTACTGTAAATATATCAAAACTTCATTTTTGATTAGTAATATGCATTGCTAAGAATTTCATTTGGACAACTTTAAAGATGATTTTCTCAATATTTAGATTTTTTTGCACCCTCAGATTCCAGATTTTCAAATAGTTGTATCTCTATACTAACAAACCATACATCAATGGAAAGCTAATTTATTCAGCATTAAGATGATGCATACATCTCAATTTCGAAAGATTGACCCTTATGACTTGTTTTGTGCTCCAGGGTCACATTTAATATGCAAGAAGTTCGCTAGTTATTGCATGATGGCCAATAATAGCTCAGTCTTATTCAATTTGCCTGTTACTTCTATTGTCAATTATCATCGACCTCCTTTGTGGCTGGTAAAAGCAACTGGTTGAGGTCTCAAGCCTTTGTCCACTCTTTGGCAAAGTCATTTTATTACGCAAGGTTACCCCCTCAGCAGTTTTGAGGTTTTCTGCTAGTTCATTTGCATAGACGTCAAATGGTGATGCTTCAGCTTTAATAGGAGATAGGAGCAGTTTTCCGTCGTCCCCTACCGGAGGGTAGTCCATGATTGGAAACGGAGGGCTGAACAGGATGAGACTTTGAGGTCTTGGACGATTTCTGAAGGATGATCTCTGAAGAAGCGATGAGCGCTCAGGTCTGGGGCGATCCATAAAGGTGTCTCCATTTGCAGATCGCTTCCTTCTCAACACTGGGAGATCTGGAACGGAGGTCGGTTTGTAATTCTCGTTGCATGTGGCGTTGTTCATGGGAATCGCTGATGGTGGTTCACTGCTTGGCAGTTCCTCCTTTCCCAACTTGCTCTTAGCAGGTTTCTTTTCAGGTGCACTTTGATTGACTTGATCGGTGCTCCCCTCAGGTAGAGCGTGAGGTATGTGGCTGTACTGAATTTTTGGCGGAATAACAGGAACAGCTTTAGCTTTGCCAGTTTTGATCATGAATGCAGTGCGAACTGATGACACGCTGACTGGTGCCGAGTTGCGTCGCACAGGTGCCTTAGAGCCACTCAAGAACAGCTCCAACTCTAGAGACGAGCTACCGTGCATGGCTTCAAGCGTCGTGCATTCCTGTGCAACTGAATGTTGTACACTTTTCAGATAGTGACTGTTTGAAAAGTCTCTGACACCTTGGTGTCTTAAATCCAGGTTTAGGGAGCATGGCCTGAGTTTGGGTTGAATGTCTTCACGACTCCTCTCCACGACGCCAGACTCATGGGATGTCTGTCGATGAAATCTCTGAGATGAGTGTTTCTGTTTTGCTTTGCTCACGTTTTGCAGTGCAGCCGTCTCATCTGGATCGGTGAATGCCTTCAGTATCTTAACCTGCGGAATCTCAAGTTTGCTGTCGTCTTTGTCTCCCATCCACTTGAGGTTATCGCTCTCGCAATGCTCTGTTATCGGTGAAAAACAAGTTACATTTGTATCTGCATTTCTGTTTCCTGTCGGGAAGTCAATGTTTCGGAGTTCACAGGCAGCTGTCACAGCAGCCTCTGTTTGAGATGGTGTAATGTCATCAAGCACAGCTGGTTCTTTAGGCAAGTCGTCCACTTTTGTTTTTTCAAGAACTTGGCTGTGAGTTGCTTGACATGGCATAGGTTTTGGTGAGTGCAGAGGGCTGGTTACCCACTGCTTGGCAGAACACAAGTCTTCCCATGGTTCAACCTGATCCAAATTACTCCCCCATGTGTCTACAGCATCTCGACAACAACTATCCAGTGTGCGCTGTTGTTCATTCAGACAAGTCGAGAGTCTTTCCAAACTTCCCTTGATTCTTTCTGCTAAATCGAGTTTCTTTGGTTCACCACTAACCTCCTTATTTTCATCTTTACAAATATCCTTTGTTATCAATGGCTCTTTCGTGTCAGAGTGAAGAGATGTGTGAACGTCCGATTTACCCGGCAAGTCACTTTTGGGAGTGTTGTCTTTCCTAACAGCCTCTGTTCTTGGTTCCTCTTCGCTGCATGGCTCTGCATCTTGGAGGATATCTGTTTCCTTTAGGTGGAGAAATGGGGAAAGCTCTAGACTGGTTGTTATTATGGTTTGCGACTCTAGGCTCTTGTGGTCTGTCCTGTCAGCTTCATTATCCAGGTAATTCCAGCCACCATCACATGACAACAATCTTTCTGGGAAATGCTTCGTGACAGAATTAAACGTAGTAGCAGCAGAATGATCAAACGTCACGTTTTTGGTAAGGTCTATAAAGAGTCCTTTTGACGTCACAGTGTTTGTAGGCAAACTACTTCTTCTCTGTGCACTTAGCTTGCAAGTGTCCTCGTTTCCAGTCATATTGGTGAAGCGGGGCTTCACCTGTTCACCTGGCATGCTTGTTTTAGCCTCGGTGACTAAAACTTTGTGATGCATGCCAGACGATGGCACCTTTTTGATTACTTCCTGTGAAACACGACGAAGGAACAAAAAAAAAGAGAGAAAAGTGAGGGCTGGTTATACAGACATTTGTTCCAATGATATTTCAGAGGTCAAAATGATGTCTTTTTAAGACAGTAGCTTAAATAGGTTTATAAATTATGGCTTAATTGCAATTAGGAGTTAATGGACTTGAAATATATATCACTATTTCATCTTGGGATTTAGTACTAGTACAGTGGTTCTTAACTTTTTTGACTCGAAGGCCCTCTACTGTGTATATACTTTAATATATTAAATTTTAAGTCATCCCGCAGCCCCCTGATTGAGAAACATTGTGCTTGTAGTATGTCAATCCTATTAAAAATGCAGGCGTACAATTCCATGTGTTTTAGCAATTCAAATCATACCAGTTTGTCCAATTTTGCCATTTCTTGTTGTGTTGATGTAGTTTCCAGTTCTTTCCCTATTTCTTTAGTCTCAGATGACGCCTGAGGTTCAGAATTCTCCACACTGGCTATCAGCTCTCTCACTTCTGTGTCCTTGCCTGAGAAAATTCGGAGAAATCAGCATCAT